TTCGTGGCGGTCTCACCCCCATAAAAAGTTATGGGGGTTGAAAGTTGATTATTTTGACAATTTTCATACACTATAATTCAAATAAAATTCAATAAAAAAAATATTTTCAAGCGGGTGGAGGTGGGGGATCGAAAGAGGGTGGTCACTTGAACAAAACCCGATAACCTAACCTAACCTACGCTATTGATAAAGATATTTAAATAATGTTTTATATAACTTTCTCAATATTTTTATGTATTTTTCCATTAGTTTTACTTTTGAATATTGTTTAAGAATGACTATATAAATATTTACATGCCTAAAAATGTATAAAAATTGGCATATTTACTAACTTTGAACCCCCATAATAACTTTTTAGGGGGGTCAGACCACCATGAACTTTTTATGGTACACCCCCCACCCCATCATCTAGACCTTTACCCTACTATTTTAACGACGAATGCGGTCACTTACAATCGAAAATTGTAATTTTAACTTTGCTATAAAAATTTAGTTTTGTCTGTGTGATCTTTTCAATATCCCCCCATTTCTAACTTCTCTAACCACGGCATCCCCATCAGTCGCCTGTAACACCACATTCCGAACGCTTTTAATGTTTTATTTTGCCCAATAAATGATTTCGATCTATATCCGTCTTTCAACCCATAAAATTTTCTCCTTCTATATCTAATAAATAATGGGGGAGATTGGAGGAATTTGTTGTTTACTTACGTGTAAAATTAGCCAACCATTTGAGTGGAATGATGGCGATGTCGTGATGTTGTGATCGGCTGGTGTTCAAATATTCGGGATGCACGATGGGTTTCCCCGTCCTGATCAATTGGGGTGGATCGGCACACACCAGTTTTTCCCCGTGCTTCTCGCAATCGATACTTTCGTGCGTGTTGTGTTCCCCCAATTGCACTTGGTTTCTAATTTTCGAAAACGTCGACAATTAAAACAAAATTATAACTAATTAAGGTGGTAATCTTACATCGGTCCCAGGGGTGCCAACATGGACGACGAAACGCAATGAGCGGCGGTTAAAACGTATTTCGCTGCGATTAGGAATCCGACGCACCCGTAGCTCCTGAGCCCGTTCGGTGCCTTGTGTCTTAATCTCGCTAACCACGGGAATTCCCCGAGAACCGCCTCCGATCCACCAAATATCCTATTGGGAAAAATCATCGGCTGTTTGCCGCATTCCTTCGGGAACGGGTCCACATCCAACGGTTGCACTGGCGCTTCGATCACGTCCGACGCCGCTTCTGCATCCCCTAATAAATTTTGTAAAAAAAATTTTATTTCTATTATTGATTAGGTGTTATTATAAACATTTTGTTTTACCTCGTATTATAAAATCGGAATATCGTCCACAGCAAACTTTATTAGTCTGGGGGTTGGCATTGCCAGGGGTGCAGTCCGATTCGTCGATAAATTCCTGTTTCGATTTTACATTCCTGTACTTGGCTAATACTTGGCATTCACTAATGTCAATGCAAAATCCGTTGTCACCGTTTGGAGTCTTGCACGGGGTTGCAAATTCTAAAACGAAAGTATTTGAAATCCAAAGCGTAAATAATCATAATATTGTTTGTAAAATCCGCCGCTCTATATACTTATCTTTAAGCGATAATAAATGTAAACAATTAACGGAAAATAATTCTGTTTTTCTGATACATACAATATTAAAGATTTATTTACTTACTTGTTGCAAGGGTTTCGTTAAGGTTTATTGTTGTGTCATTTAAATCGGCTTCCGTTACACTGAATAATGTTAAACAAACGAAGAAGAAAACTTGATAGAACGAAAGCATGGTATGCCTGCTAGAGTGTTCGCGTCGAATAGGCGTTCTTGGATTTCCCATCATCGTACGAAATCCCGAGGTCGCACTCTTGACCTTACAATAGGCGATTAGGTAGATACCAATTAGTTTTCTACTCTATTCGAACGTCGGACATCCCACCATTCACAAAACTACATCGTTTAAAACAAATGAATCGTTAAACAACCGAACGCGCCTTCTTGCAATTGTTAGTTCTTTGACGCGAAGCGATTTTTACAGTGAATACATAAAAATTATTAAAAGATGCTCGTACAGTGACTGCTGCATATAGCTTCGCATACGGCTTACGCAAAACTGCGGATTATTTATTTATCAGGCTCTGTAGTTTCTCACAGTTTTCCCCTCCGCAATATTGTTAAATGCAAATATTATCTTAAGCCTGTACTTACAATTAGTATTTAGTATTTTATGTGTGTAATGCGGGTACGATTATTCATTTTCGACATATTGCACACACATCCATATGTACACGTAATAATAAGTTTATTATTCGTGGCCAGTAAGAAAACACGATGTACTTACCACAAAAATGTTATCGACTGTTGTGTGACCCCTGTAGAATATAGAACAAATTTACATAAACGTATGTAAACATGCACTTTTGTACATATGTAATTATTAATTGGCCTGACTCTTACTATTCAGTTTCTATAAGTTAAAGTTTGGAGAAACAATTGCAATGGTCTTTTTTGTTTTTGTGAAAAAACAAAATACTGCGTAGCGAAAATGTTTTTCTTGTTTATGAACGAATATTGTTTGCCTTTAGGTAAAAGTCAAGAAAATTTAAGTTTTTAGTGTTTTATTTTATTTCTTTGTCAATATTAGGACTGCTTTGGATCGTAGATAAACAAGATAAATTGTTAATAGACATGTTTTGTTAGTATTCACGATAAACTGAGATTTAATATAATCAGTTTTTTGAATTTTAATATCTAGTAGAGATATTAGTTCGAGTGCCAGACATAAAAAGTAATGTTGGGTTTAATCACCCAGGTAGGTGCATTATCGTCTGCAAATGCGTCTAGAAAGTGAAGAAAACTTTCTCCGTTGAAAATTTTCACTTCGTGCAGCACCCACTTGGAATCATTCCGCTAAAATATACCCCCGCAAAGTGCACTCGTGATTTCCCGCGTGCACCATTTTGATACAAGCAGTCTTTTGCCTAGAGCAACATCTATAAATAGTTTTCCTGGCGAGCACTTTTTGCCACTTAGCAAAACTTCGCTAAACATGTAAAGTAGGTACATGGGTACAAAGACGTAAAGATGCCCATAAGGGTTGGAAGCATCAGCTAAACTTAATGTCAACTATATTACATTTTCTGAAAGAAATTATCCCAAAATGCCTGAAATACAGACAATGGTACAAAATTTTTAAGTAATTGATAATGAAAAGGATTGACGAAGATCGTAACATTCGAGATAGTCTGTCCTATAAAATAATTATTAAGGTTTCTTGGAATTGGAAGCTGCAGTGGATAAGGGACAAATAACGAAGAAAATTGTCTTCTCAAATACCAATAAACAGGTATTGATTGACTTGCCTTCGGTCATGTATAGTAACTGACGTGGAAGGAGCAGGGGATGAAAGAGCGCCAATATCCCAACGAGCCTTAATGGATACGTTAGAAAGCAAGTCCTCATTAAACGACGCAAAAGTAGAGATATCGGGTGAAAAAGAGAGAAAAAAGGGCCAGAATCAGTATCAAAAGGGACTGCATCGAAGGTTCTCTCGTTAGGCGGCTCCAGTAATTGAAAACGTTCGTTGAAATAAAGACGAAACCTTGTTTAATTACTACGTTTTAAATAGATTCGAAACAAAAGACATAAGTATTAAAGAAACAAAATATTCTGAAAGGTTGTTGATAACTGAACCACATATAACATAGATTCGAAACAAAAGACGTAGGTATTAAAGAAACAAAATATTCTGGAAGGTTGTTGACAATTGAAAAGCATATAACTAATAACAAAAAAGGATCAAGAATCATTCGTGTAATTACAAACAGAGGTCAGTTTTTCAAAATTTTGGAATTCATACCGAATTATCTGTGCAATCATTAATTTGAAACGTATTTTTAATCATACTAATTAACAAATAAATTAAACATTGCGTCATTTCCAGTAACTTTGTCTCCAGTTTATTTTCAACAAATTGTGGGCATCGCGTGACGCCCTCTGTCAACCGCAAACAGCCGTTCAGCCACCCCATAAATTTCTCCCTATTGTGTAACGTAATGTAATGTTAATCAGGGTACATATTACATTTTAGTCTTGTCACACACGACGTATGATATATCGTGGTCGTTGTCCATTTACCGATTGCGAGACTACAGATGCACACCTACCACACGCACGAAGACAGAAACTCACTGAATCGCACCGTACCGCGGTGGACATCCCCCGCTAGCGTTGGGGGGTAGTCGTTGAAGCGTTAGCGCGGACTTGTTATTTGATATAAGGGAGAGTGGACCGTTCGATTTCCCACCACCCGTTACGCCTTTGGCAATGTGAATTCATCACGGTTCCCCTCATTCCAGGACTTTTTCGATTGGAAAATCGAGATTTTCAATGGGAAAGATTAAAAACCAATAATTAATTGATTGGTAACGCAATTAGAGGCAGCCTCACGTAAACAAAATCGAAGCGGCATTGACAAAAGACAATAGAGAATAGAAAAAAAAGAACAGAAGGAACCTAACTCATCATTGTTTTTGGAACTTCGGCTGTTAATCGTGATGTTACATTGTTATATGTGGGAGAACCGCCTCCCTACTAAACAACGTTTTCCTTCGATATCTGGAGGGTTGTTCGGTAGCGTCCGTCGCGTCGGTGGAAAGTTAGGAGCAGTTTCCATTCTTATTAACTTTTAATTTTGGTTCACTAATTAGCGCCAGTAAATCCGGGGGTAATAAAGTAACGAGAAAAATTAAAACGCTGGCTTACCCCTTTATCTACGGCCTCCCGGGCGTCCGGTTGGAATCCTTGCCTAATTCCCTCGGGAGGCATAAGCGCCGCGGGATTTGTAAAAACACCATATTTCGCCGTTATCAACATCATTATCGGAATTGCACGCCGTCAGGATTTTAGCGGGAACGGGAGCGCTGCATGCAGAGAGAAAGAAGGGAAGAAAAAGAGGAGAGGGCCCTAATCTGCCCGAATTAGCAACTTTTTATTATCCGGCTTATTATATCGGAAACGGGTCCAGATTCAGTACGAAGTCCGTATAATCGCAGGACGTCCAGAATGAAAATTCCTGCGATAGACACACAGTTTATTATTATGGGTTGCTTTTAATTCGTATAGATTTGTTTTTAATCTATATATCGAAGACGCAATTAAAGGCAGGACAACTTTAAGGATAGATATACAGGGAAAAAGGATTAGTAAGGGAAGAAAAAGTAGGAATAGAGTGGATAGAAAAAGATAGGAGACGAAAAATTTGAAGAAGTCGCGGATTATTGGTATCTAGGAAGTCAGGTAACTCAAAATGCTAAAAATGTCAATAAGAAATAATGGCTAGTTAGACATATTAGAAGCATAAGCAGGAGTCTAATTCGATTCTAAACTCAAAATATATTATTAGTAATCAATTAACTTACTAAACGTCAGCATTCGTAGAAGCGTTTCCGCAGTTGATTGTTGTTTGGTAACTCATCTTCATCATAAGGTCGTCAGTCCTGAGACTGGTTGGACACGTACCACCACTCTTTCCTATCCTGAGCTAAACTTCGCATTTCCCTAAAACTAGAACAGCCCACATCCTTAACTATTTGCGAACAGTAATCTAATCTAGGTCTACCTCTACCCCTCCTAACTCCTGTTTCTGCCTCTAATATGTCTCTGACTAGACCTTCATGCCTGAGAAGGTGTCCTACCAACCTATCTCGCCTATTTTTTATTGACTTCCATAGAGTCCTCTGTTCTCCTATTCTTTCCAATACCTCTTCATTTCTAACCTTTTCTACCCACGATATCCTCATCATCCGCCTATAACACCACATTTCGAACGCTTCTAACCTTTTCTTTTCCGCCGCTCCCACTGTCCATGTTTCGCACCCGTACAACGCCGTGCTCCAAACATACACCTTTAACAACCTTTTTCGAATTTCTAAATTAACCGTTCGCGAGCATAGAAGTGACTTCTTTTTATTAAAGGCGACACGACCCTGCGCTATCCTCTGCTTTATATCCCTACTACTCCTTCCATCCTCACTTATCTGACTTCCTAGGTATCTAAAATCAGCCACTTCTTCTAATTTTTCGTCTCCTATCTTTATATTCGCTCTTTCCCTACTTTTTCTTCCCTTGCATATCAGTATTTTAGTTTTACTTTTATTTATTTTCATACAGTACTGATCTGTCAGAACCGCTTTCATTTTATTTAAAGCTATCTCTAGGTCCTCCTTGCTAGATGCTAATGCTAATGTTTGGTAGCTAATAATTTATAAAGTAAAAAAGAAAAGGTTATTATTTATACGAGACCAACAACCTTACGTTTCGCCTCAATTATGAGGCACCTTCAGGGTTAGATTTTTAATTTTCATATTTTATAACTTAGAAACCAAACCCTGAAGATGCCTCATAATTGAGTCGGAACGTAAGTTTGTTGGTCTCGTATAAATAAAAACCTTTGCCCCGTACGTAGCTTGATTTCTTACTTTATAAAATTGTTGGAGAAGAAATCGTTTGAAATATAAGATCCTTTAGAAGGATTCGATTCGGTTTGATAATAACTAAAGCGTCCAGCTTTTCGAGAGCAATTTAACGATCCTTTAAGGGTCCAATTTCAAATAAACTCTAGCGCTTGTTATTGAAAGCCAAACGTAATCCGAGCCTTCCCTTTTACCTGAATATAAGCGGTCACTCATACCCTTCATGTCCCTTACTACTTTACAAGAAGTATCCAATGGTCACAGGAAATATCCCACCCACTATACTCACTCGAAAGTTTTCATAACATCAATGTCCTTCCTCGTCCTGTCTGCACGGACATGCGTGTGCGTCTGAGTGCGTGGCCCTTTCATCTCTGACGTCGTCGATTCCTTTTTATACGCCAGGATCTTTATCCGTTTCGATACTCGAACAGCTTTTGCCAAATTGATGTTGGCAACTTTTACAATCGAATAAAAAGTCCGAAGATAAACAAATACACATGCGAGAGGACTTCAAAGACCGGCCGGGAGCTTTTCAAAGGGCAAAGGGCTCCAAGATGATTGGATGGTTGTACAATCCCTTCTTTTGAGGCGACTTTCTGAATTCAGTGGAAACAAATTAGAGAAATAAATCCCGGCTGGATATTTTGACGAAGCAGCAATAAAATATGTTTTGCTTTGAGGTAAATAATTGTCCAAAGAAAATTGTCAAAGAATACAAGAAAAAGGTCGCTTTTCCCCAAACAATTGATGCAGTGTTTGATATACGTTATCGTGGTCATTTTCCTTATTGTAAAATGACTTTTTCCCTTCGAGTTTGTTTATTATTATTTTCTGACAAGATTATCACGATTTTCTTTAGACGAAGAAAGAAAAAATTTTAATTCTTTTGAAAACTCCAATCCGTAGCTTTGTTTTTTCAAGATCTGTTCATCTTTTGAGTTAATTTTAAGAAGGTTTTCCAGTTTTCGAACATTCTTTGAATGTTTTATGAACGAAGGAAGCTTAGGGAGTTGAAAATTCCCTTTCATGTTGTATGAAAATTGATTTTTCAGTAGGCATACACTTTAAATTGTTTGATTATACCGATATTCCGTCTGCTTTATTGGCGCGTAAAAAGCCTCTCTAAAATTAAAGCAGTAAAAACCTTTTTATTCCAGTCTTCACAATAATAAAACGTAGGCAACAGACTCTGCAGAAATGTTTCACTGTTTTAAGTCGCATAACTTTATTCTCTGTTTTTGCAATAAACATTTCGAATTTCGATATTAATACCGCTTTTATCGTTTTTATTTTAAACAGCCGAATAATAACGCTTCCACCTACATAACAACGTTTTATTTATTTTTTTATGTCGCGAAATACCTTCAAAATATCAAATCTTCACTTAAAAAAATTTATATCAAATACTTTAATAGTGGTTAATATTTAATATTAATGTGTAGATTCACTTGAACCTCTCGTGGCCTAATGGTCAGAATAATCGAATATGAAGCCATAGGTCTCGGGTTCGATTCCCGGCGAGGGTGTAACAGCAGCAACAATTTTTTCTTGTTAATTTGAAGTAATTTCACATTAATATTAAAAAAACTGAACCAAGTGTAAATACAGCAGCCCTTACGGTGATTTCACCCTCTCCTCCAACCTTATACACATCTTATTATTCCCCTTGTGTGGTATTTACTTTTCATCCCTTTGTTGAGTATTGAGTTCTATTTACATTTTCATTCCAATTACAATGATTTATTCGTTGTTTAAAACTACATGTGCCGGCAAGTTTTTCAAATTCATTTGCAACTTTGTACCAACGAATTTCCCCCATCAGTTCGACTCGCTGGACGGTTTATGGTTGGGCATAAAGAGAGACTCCTAAAATTAAAGTAATAAAGCAGGGTTTTACTACTTAGTAACGAAAACAGTAATATATATGTACGTGGCAGTAGCAAACCTCTCGTAAATGCTTTATAGTTTCGAACATTTCGAATCGTGAGGGATGTTTTTAGTAGTATTTATCATCGCCAACGTTTTCTCTCGTCAATCCACTTTACATAAACAATTTTTACGGTGATCTTTAAGGAACTTAATGTCACTTTTCGAAACTGTTGCATTTTATAGAAATTTTAACCCAAACATGTAGATAATGATTTCATTCTCAGGACGAAAAGTAAGATTTCTTTTCCTTATAATATGAGAAAATGTAGTAATAATATTTTAAAACTTTACTCTGATTAATAAATAATAATTAACCAACGTTTATGTAACTTAAGCAGTAGTTTGTAGTGGCCGTAAATGGTTCAGTGGCATGAATGCTTGACTGGCATACCGGCAGGCCTGGGATCTGTTCACGGCCGGCGATGTACTTTTTTTTCACGAGAAATTTAGTTTTTGAACAATTTTCTTTTTGTAAGATTTCTAATTAATGTTACGAATTGACTATTTTTTTTCTTGAATGCCAAAAGAAGAAGAAAATAATTGCGAAAATTTTAGATCTTTGTAATTTTTGAGAAACTAGTGGTAATTTTATTTCTGCGGTGTAATGATATTTTCCTTTTTATAAACCAACCATCCTTTTATAAACCAATGGATTATTTCACTTGTGGAAGCCAGTGTACGGTGAAACTTTTCACTTGTCCCTGCTCCCTCTTGTTTTCCGTTGTTTGATCATGTCAATGCTAAATAATTCAATAAAACCTTTAATCTTTCACTGGTGGGGTACCCGAGACTTGCTCGTCAAATAAGGAAAATAATTAAATCAGTGCATCACGAAAGAGAAAAGCGCCTCATTGTACACCGACGTGGACGGCGTCGTTACACCACCACTTTAACAATCCCACCAGCGTCTCCCTTTCACTCCATATACCTGATCGGGACTCTTGAGCCCCTTTAAAAGACAATGGAACAACGGGATCGGATGCTGTTTTATTAATTGCACGGGCGAGTTTCGATTAATTTTGTGTTTAATTAAAGACGCGCCATCAGTCATGGAGGACGTGATCTCTTACGCAACCACGCGCTGCCACCCGATCTTCTTTTATCTCTCTGCTGGCTTTGTCGCTCCCTCAATCACGGGACGTCTCAAGAAAGGGTTGTTCTGTTTACCCCCGAAACTAATTAAGGAATATACGCGCCATACACGACGGAATACATGTAAGACTAATCATTTTCTAATCGAGTTTGACGAAACAATTTTGGCCTTTTTGAATTGGGGAACTGCCACTTCCTTCCCCTGTTTGTGTATTCCGCTTTTGTCTCCAACTGATAAAAATCGTGATTTCTACATCTCCAGCCATCCCAATCGTCATAATGGTACACTAAATTCGAACAAATTCATTAGTTCAGTCAGTTGTACGAAGATATTCCACTATGTAGCTAAAATAGAGAGAGAGAGAGACGCGGGGTTCTAGAATATCATCTAACAGCCTCCTTCGTAATAATAATGTATGACGTTTTCCGGATCGAGTTTGTTCATGTGAAAACAACTGACGGCTCTCCGTTAAGGGCGTGTTAATCAGTATTGTTTCGAAGAAACAATGAAACCGCCGCTGCATTCAAAATGTACAACTAGAAACAGTCGCCTTAAAATCAACTTCTCAGACGTTCAACAATGCAGACAACTGACGTCGAAGAGTTTTGATAAGTTGGTTCGTTGTAAGGGTTCTGATGAATTCTATAAAACATAAGGCATAAGGCGTTATGATAAAACATAAGGCGTTATGGATCAAATACGTCACAGCAAATGACTTGTATGGCATATAAACATATTAAAAGCAGAAACAGGAGTTGAGAGAGGTCAAGCGAGCGTCTAAATTCGATAACTGTTACATAGTATAGGTACTTCAAGGGAAATTTTGGATTAGATTAATTCAGGATAGCAACCCATATTTTTTTTTTTACTTTTTATACATACGATAACATTGCTTCTTAATAAATTTTACTGCATACTGACGATGAAAGTAAGATCGATAGAGGCAGAGAAGGAACCTTTTTTAGGGGGTTGGGATGTCGAACATTCGATAATTGGGCGTCGGACAATGGGGGGCCCATTTCGAGGTCCAGCAGGCAATCCTATCATAATTTATATCTATAGGCAATGGTCACCTGCAGATTGGGACTTGATCAAAGAAGTTCTGGATGGAATAACATAATGCGGCCGTCGCAAGGGGGTTGTTGAAAGAGATTATTAGAGGGGATGCTGTTTCGACGAAAGAATTTCAGCAATCTGTCCCTGCTGGGGTCACACAGCGACGGAAATTAATTGGACGACGCAACAAGAAATTATGACGAAATGTCAACATTTATTTAATTATTCGTTTATTTAAAATCATGCACTTTTCGTTTCTAAACTATTAATCTTACTAGAAACATAAATTTTCATCCTTTTTTTAAGGTTTGTGTTCACCGTTTACCTTTTGTTTGCATTTTTTGCTGTCGTTTGTTACACAGCCTTCTTATACGTAATATTGGGTAGCTTTTCTTTGTTTATCACTTCTTTATACAGTTGATTTTCTTTTGTTTCACATTCTACGTCCTTGCCATCCATCTTATTCCGTTGGACTCCTTCATTTCCTTCCTCTTTCTGGTACGATCTGATTTTCCAACTGCATACCCATCACATGTGTCTGTCCATTTTGTCTCCTGTACCCATAATAATGCATCTGTTTCCTTGTATCATCTGCTCGCAACGCAATCGTCCTGTGGGGCACGCGACAATAAATATTTCTGTTATTATTAAAATAATTCCCATTCTTTGCGGTGTCCAGAACAGGGTTCCTCCTTTCCCGGGTTGTGCCCGTGCCGCCTGTCCAATAAATTCCGATAATAAAATGCGACTGGAATTTTTGCGTATAGGAGAAATAACACGTTCCGAAAAACGTCCGCAGAATGCGTATAAATTAGTGACGGTGGTGCCTTTAGGTCCGGTCTCATTTAAATTTATTCCAGGAGCGGAAGGAGAACGGTGGCGGATAATGCCTCCAAACATGCGGACATTTCCCGTAATTGCGAGAGGGTCGCGCTCGTAATGCCCGCAGAATTCGGTCGTAAAGTGTTCATTCTGATCGTAAAAGTGGTAGTGTGGATTGCCCCGATGGCACCTGATACTATTGTCGCCCCCCCCCTTCCCCGTCCTCCGCAGTACAGGGGTTGGCATCAGGTCCACACGTCGTCGTCACGATTAAGAAGAAGCCGTACGCAAAAACGACAAGAGAAATTGTGTCGTAAAAAAAAACCGGACGAGGGCAATTTTCACCCTGAAGATGTGCTCATTTCAGTCGATAGGGTGGCTGAAATATTATGTTATGAAGCCCTACATCGCTTCTTCGAAAAGAAGGATTTAAAACCATCGACACCCTGTGTATATCGGTCTTGTTCAAGCTCTAAACTGAATGTTGTTGGAGCATACGTAATCCTAAAATGTAGCGTCGTGCTACAGATGGCGTTTACCGCGCCATTTGTAGTATTTTCTAAAACGCACTGTTAAGACAGCAGGTAAAAGTTGGTCTGTGTTCTGTCGAAGCTGCGCTGATGAGATCCAAAAAGATCGAAATCGCGATCCGTGTCTGGCAGTTTCGACAGAATACAGACCACTTCGAATTATTTTATTCTAAACTAAATGTTACGAACCAGCTACAAATTATGACAAAAATGTCACATTCCAGGTTCTAAATTGTTAAGTGGTTTAATACTTATGTACAGTTGTGTGCCAAAATTGTTACTGTTTCTTCTTTTGCTTAATTATGCCCTTACCGTATACGCGGGTAAGAGTAAATAAATGTCAATTTATTTCGGAAATGCATATTATAAACACCTGAATAATCAAATTTCAGAGTTTGTGGATTATTGCGATTTTTGCGGTCATGTAGTACACAGGTCTCCTTCCGAAAGGTTCCCGAGAAGACTGGGACATATGAGTACGTTATATTATTTAATAGATAAAAAACAACCAATGATACATGTTAATTATTAGGGGAAGTATTTACGAAGAAGTTTCGCCAAAAATGTCGTTGTTGTAGTTGTCAACAAAACAGAAGGGTAAATTACGCAACACGTTATTAAAATACGCTTGAATTGATTTAATTCGATTTAATTTAGCGCCAAATACAATCCCTGTTGAAGCACTCCCTTCATCCAGCTCATTTTTTACCAACCCTGTTCAGAAAAAAATGGAACATCAACGAATATGCACCGGAAAGGTATTTTGCAAATGAGTTTTAACGTTGATGTTACATATTTATGAAAAATGTATTTATAACGAACAATCTGTCATTTGTAAAAGTCAAAATTTTTGTCGAGTGTCCAAAATCTTGGACAAATGTATAGATTTTTATTCAGAATATGCATATTATTAATAATATTTAATTGTCCTTTGGAAGGGTCAACAGGTACGAATGCCCTTTTATTAGGTACCCTTGATAGGTACAATTTTTTTACGAATTTTTGTTAGACCCCTGCGGAGAATGTGTAAGATGTAAAATGCAGTTGTCAGAATGCCGTTGTGCAGAAAACAAGGAAATAGAAGTGGATGTTGAAATAGAGTGTAAAAAAGCAGCGGTGCCATCCTGTAAAATTAAAAAAGCTCCCTCGTCGTGCAAACCGCCTGCGCCAGTTTGCAGAGGCAAACCACCTAGAAAATCATCCTGTAGAAAGAAACCGATCCCTTTAAAAATAAAAACGTGTCGTTGTAAACCAAGAAAGGTATGCTGTGAACCACCCCGTCAGCCACAACCATTGCCGAATGAGTGTTTACCACCCCCTAGCGAAGGGCAACTCCTCTGTAGTGAACCGCAGGCACCCCCAAATGACTGTATACCACCCGCGAATGAACCACAAGTGGAATGCAGTGAACAAGAACTTTTACCATCTTCCAATGATCCACCGGTATCACAAACCACATTTAATATATGCGTTTCTTCGCCCATTGAGGAACCCCAAAACCTCGAACAATCGACACCCAGAAAATCAGAACAATTAGCCTCCAAGAAATCGTGGAAACAACAAGAACTTGCATGTTGTTGTCCACAAAAGCCAGACTGCGAACCAAGTCCATTGGTTCATATACCAAAATCAGACTTGTCCACTATTCCAAAAGGGGAATCAGGTGGAGAATAGCTTTCCTCAGTCAATTTTTAAACTGATACGAATTATACTCAAAATATCTTTAAGGTTTATCGTCGGTCACCAATTGTAAAGAAAAATGCATATGCTGTTCTTGTCGAACAAGGACGGTACGTACTTCATGAGACGTAACAATTGTTAATTAATAACAATATTAATTGCCCTTTACCATGCAGGGACCAGACGTAATAACTACACGAGTTTACAACTTTCTTCAAAATATTAAGAAACATATATGCAAACCAGAATGAACTTGTTTATTTGAAACAATTTCTTGGGTAAGTGCAAGAATGTTTTGTCATTTGCCGCAACAAGGATAGCTGATTTTGTATAGCACACAGTGACGTTTAACAGTTGTCAATTGTCTAAATTATCGTATTTGTAAAATCTAAATGGCAAAACTTTTGTTAACCGTTTTTTTTATTTTGATAGTCTGTCTGGTTTCCCTTTCTGTTTCTGGATTTAAAGGTATTTTCCCATGAATTCAAAAATATATAGTTACAACTTTCTTTTGTGAAACCGCCTTGTAGGATGTGCGATTTGTGGTTATTCTAAACATTGTCCACGGAAATCTGTTAGGGACCCCAGAATGGCTTACTATTCTGGTAATCCGAAACTGGTTAGTCCAAAGCAATACTATTCCGACAAAACTTATGTCGAACCGACCCACAAACAGTATGAGTCCCAGAAACCATCCCCTAAAGTGATTTACAAGGAAAATGTGAATCGTCCCCCGGCAAGATCTACTTCAAGTATATAATAGCAACAATTCTTTTGTCGATAAGCCTAATAACAGAGATTATTATCGTAGAACCTACAGTATGTCGACCATGTTAGAATTCACAATTAGATTGGTTATCGAAGCAGGAACGGTGCAGACTTAAAAAAAACAGAGCAAAATTGAGCAAAAATTGAACAAATATTTATTGATGAACTAGAACTAACTTTAAATAAAAATCTTTAACTCCTACTTTATGTTCTTAATTTAAAAACTAACACATTCGTCAAGTATATATATATATATATATATATATTTATATAAACACTAAG